CCAAATGAAAATATGACACTAAATAGGACGCAATGGAGAAAAAGGATTCATGTAGTCGACCCCACATAGTGGGATTAAGGCTTTGTTGTTGTTGTTGTTGTTGTTGTTGTTGCATGATGTTACTGACAAAGCCAAAGGGCTCAAAACATATCACAATAGGACAAATTCAACTTATCAACCGTTTTTAAAGAGATTTGATACTCAGCGAAGTATCAACACATGATGACCACTAAGCTCATTGTTCCCTGTAGATTGATGACAAGAAATTTTGAAATTTTTGTTAAGTTAAAGAATTGGGGGGATTTGGAATGATAACTAGTTACATTAACTAATAATATAATGATAAGGAATCACCAAATTTTACTTTACATGTAGTTGTTCTCCAAATTTTCTCTCTGATATCAAATGATGAAATGTGGTGGTTGCTAGGGTAATGTGGGCAAGGTGATTTGTTGCTGTTCGGCTAAAACAAGAGATTATATTATGAAATATCAAATTCTTAGTTTTGAAGTTGGTTGTATTTCCTCTAGTATAGACAACAACAGTAAATAGATAAGGAATGCATGATTTATGTAAAATGGCTTATGATTGTCTTGAATAAGAAGTACTGTTACTTTTTTGCAAACTCAAACAAATTTCTTTTTTTTTTGTTGCTTTTTTTTTCTTTTTGTTTGCTTGCATCATCAATTTTTTTTTTCTCGTTTAAATTTTAATAGTGTAATTAGTTTCCATTTGGAATGCCAAGATGTTTGGGTCATACAAGGATAAGCATACATCAAAATGTTTGGGTCATACATGGATAAGCGTACATCAAACTGTTTCTTTTATGAATTATTTATGATGCTCCTCCCACAATACCTTCTACATATGTTTATCACTTCTTGATTAAGTTTAGAGTTTGTCATTTGAAGGCAACGTAAAATGCTATGCCTTTTATATTTTGTATGGCACTTAATACAAAATTTTCACACTTAAGTATTTCATATAAGTTTAGAAACTTATATATTGACTATATCTGTCTTTTTTTTTTTTCAGAAACATCAGCTTTTGAACTCTGACGAGCATGCTAATTTTCTAAAAAAGCAGGGTAAGGATCCTTCTGAATACCGACCTGATATTGTCCATCAGGTTTGTGAATCTTTTCTTTTTAATTTTGATTCTTTAGTTGTTAGTTGAACTGTCGAGCTTGCTTATTGTTTTCAGCATAGTGTTCCTGACTTGTGAATATAAAATTACACTTAATCAGCTTTAGAATGTCATTGAACTTTAATTCTTATGGTATTCCTTGAGATTCTGATGCATGTCATGTCAGCTGGTCATAACTTGTTTATCTTTATTTTCAACTAGTTATAGAAGAAAGGAAAATTTACATACATGCTGCACAATTCCTATATTTTTACATATCAAACACCAACATTTTGATATTTATATTCAAAACACTTTGGTTTTATAAACCCATGCATTAAAAGTGCTTTTGACCTTTAAAGTTAGTAGTAGTGGTATTTTTTATTTAATATTTAATATTTGAGTGCTATGCATAAAAATATAGAAGTTTAGGGTATGCATGTAAGTGCCCCTGTAAGAATTTTGCATTCCTTCTTTTGTTAAAATGGAATTTTTATTATTTACGATGCCCATAGTTGTGTGTTATTTTTTGTTTTCCCATTTGCATGCAACATGCAAGATGTGGGCTATCAACGATTGTTATTTTATAACTGTTGCTTGCACGATGCATGACAATCTTAGGCAATTCTTGCCATTTTGGATAGCCCCTTAACTAAGGCTGGAAGGCTGCAAGCTCTATATATTCATTCAACACGAAATGCAATCATCGAAGTCAAACCACATGTTCGGATTCCGCGAACTTTCAGGAGATTCTGTGGTCTTATGGGTTAGTCACTCTTAGAACTTTTCATATTGTCATCAACTTGTCTGCTTATAGTCTGCAGTGCATTTCGTTTGATTTCTTTTCATGAATGAGTTGCATGTTTATTATATTATTTACTAATATCTGGTCTCTTTCTTTTCAGTGCAGTTGTTAGAGAAGCAAAAAATAACTGCTGTAGGCAATCGTGAGAAGCTTCTTGCTCTGATTAAGAACCCTGTAACCGATCACTTACCTGTTAATTCACGAAAAATAGGTGATTCTTCTACCCTTTTAATATTGATTTTATGATTGTTGGAATGATTGTTTAACTTAACTGATGCAGTTCCTTGATTTTGTAGGCTTATCATACAGTTCTAATAAATTAGTCCATGTGCGTGACTATGTTGCTGCTGCTAGTGACGATGTCAATCTTGTCTTTGTGGTATGCCATGGTGGCCTGCATAATCTTTTATTTTTTATGCTTGCAGTTTTTTCATTTATATCCAAAATTTGACAATTTACAGGTGGGCGCAATGGCTCATGGAGTCATTGATAAAGGATATATAGATGACTTCATATCAGGTATGCTGTTTTATGTTGAAGGAATTTTGATTTTATATTTTGTAATTGCTTCATATTAATGATTTTGTCCCTTAGTTTTCTTTCATTTAGGTGAGTGTAGCTATAAAACAATATAGATTTATAACTTTGCTGCGAACTATCTTAAAATCTCTCAGAAGTGATGATTTCAGTTTCACGCATAAAATGAGTGAAACCGAAATATCTTTCTGAGAACATGTTTTTTATATCTATAAATAATCACATGCACTCAAAGTGTAAACAATTTAAAATTATTTAAATGCTTGATCTATAACTAAATAATTGTGGAGCTTCAGTTCTGCTCAAAATGCTTTCTTTTTCTTTACCTTTCTTGCCCATCGAGCTGTGCTTTGCAACATAATGCAGCCACTTATATATTTTCCTCTTGTTTCCTGCAGTTTCAAATTACCCTCTCAGTGCAGCTTGCTGCTTGAGCAGGATATGCAATGCGTTGGAGCAGAAATGGAAGATATTGTAAGTCCAGCTCCATCAAGCTGTGTGATTTCTCTTAAGCTTCAGGTCTATGTATTCTGCCAAATCCTTTTGCCCTTCTTTGTCTAGTGATCAGTTATTGATTATATATAATGAGCAGATGATTAAAATATACCACTTTAATATTGTATAAATTTTTGTGCCTTGAATTTGCTAATTAAGTTTATTTTGATTTCAGTTTCCATTAGCTTTTAAAGTTTGCAGATCCTATTTATATATATATAGTAAATGTGGCTGAGATATTAATCGCAGGAGTTGTGAATGATGCAACCTAGTTATCATCCCTATGTAAATTTAGTTGCTTGTCTGTTTATTTGTAGAGGGTCCTCTATGCCATATTCTTAAATTCTTTTTCAGTTTTACTAGGACTTGAATGGTAGGTATGATTTTAATTATATGTGCATTATTATGGATGGTGTATTATAGGATATGTGCAAAAGCGCAAGTATTTTGTCTCTTATTTGGCACATAGAATTCTGTTGAATTTATCTGTTGTTCTACTTTCATTGATATTTTGTATTCAAAGTGCAAATCTCTGATGTCCTAGAAACTAAGCATACATAGCACCTTATCGATTATGATATGAAGAGGAATAGGAAGCTTCTTATAGTTTATTCGACTTTCACAAAATACTCGGTCATTCTTTACAAAGCAAAATCCGGTAGACTAGTTCCTTGTCAAATCCTTCTTGTAAGATCCAATTTCTTGCTTCTAAAAGATATGCGGTTGTGTACATCACAAATGAACCAACTGTTTTTGGCTAAAATTCTCAATGTTACTTTAGCATCGCATTTTTCGAAGAAGTGCTCAACCTAATAACGATTATCATGGCCTGGCAAAAGAACTATGAAATATTGACCTTGGTCGCCGATACAATTATCATCGACCTAGGCACAAGTGGAAATCATAGGTCGACCTGCAAATTGCACATGATTGATACAGTTGGAAGGGAATATGCTCGATTAGAAGGATTCAGAAACATAATCATCATATCATTTGAAGGTGGAACTTTTTCAATAAGGTATCAAAGCATCCTCGGTAATTATCGATGCCTCCTCATCTGGTTTTTGGTACTTTTTATGGCCTTTGAGGGGTTGTTGTCTCAAGACATTAGAATCTCAAAGAAAAATCAATCAAAAAAATCTTCCTCTTGAACGCAAGAGCCTAAGAAAGGAGGCAATCACATCTTGAGAAAGTATGTAACAATAATCTATTTTGGGGAAGACAACGACAACCAACATTGCGGGAGGCAGCAACAGTCTGCTTTAGTAGGGAAGACAATTTACGTCGGAAAATGCGACAACAGCCTAAGTAGAGGAGGTACCAGCAATGGGGGGGAATCAATTAGTGAGGTGATGTGACTTCTCTCTCCCTCGAACGGGCTATTTATTAGCAAAATTTCAGAAAAAGAACCCCAAAATTCAATTTTTTAGATTTAAACTTCATAAAACGGAACACGGGCGTGCATGTGCAGGCCCATCATGCGAAAATGGTTCCACAATCTCCCTACTACACGTTTCTCAATTCGCGTGCTGACTCAATCCACCCTGCTCTATAGCGCCATCGTGCTAGCCACTGCCTCATCGTCGTGCTGCCGGCTAACCGCTGAATCGATCTGCCTCACGCATGTGCGCCTGCTTGCTCTTGTGCATGTTTTTGTATCCTCGATCACCTTCATACTTGAATGTGGACCTTGTGGTATCCTTGAATACATAATTATACTCATTTGTCTGTATGGATGTGGGCATGTACCCATGAATGCATGCCTATACATTGAGATGCCTACCACCACCTTCTGGCCCCCACTG